CAGGAATTTTAAATCATGATCAATAGGATACTGCTGAACAGAATGGTCTCCAAAGCCAAACTTAGGGAACGTTTTCAAAACTGCCCTTAATTAGAGCCTGATTTGCAACCCACAGGAATCTCTTTTGCCATGTTTTTCAGCAGGCTTTGGATCAGGCAATTGATGCCCCCATGAAGACAGTCCTAAGGTAAGCTACCATGGCCCATCTAAAGCTTTGAACATAAGCTGTCACTTTGAAACCATTTAATTTGAACAGAAATAAAAGTATATTTTAGTTACTTTAAAACAGGAAACAAAATCTGTCATGTTACTTCATATGACAGTAGTTTCATCATCATATCCCAGTGAAAGGAAATCCCTCTTGCTCAAAACATACACACAAGCACACAACACAGTCACAACTATGCAGCATATGCGCAACATGCTAATTAATACAAATTATTAAAAAATATTGAAGTGTCTCACCTAACTGCAGTACCATGGCTGCGTCACTGAATGCACACGTCACCAATCTGAAATGTCTGTAGAGCGGGTAACACAAAACTCTTCTTCCGAAGGATACCAGAACGTCCGGAACACTACTGAAAGTCTGCACGCCAATGAAATTGTTTAATTTAATTGAACAGAAATGAACACAGCTGCATTTTGAAAAGTGTTTTAAAAGAAGTCATAGCTACATACACAAAAAGCCCATACTTTTAACAGAGCTGGAAAACACCAGGTTAATTTTAAACAGCAACAAGACCTTGTACTTGCAAACTGCATGGCAGGGTTATAAAAAGATGATCCATTTTAGTAGTTTTGAATAAAAATGAATTTAGTGAATATTTCAATAAAATAATTAACTCATTTTTGCCATTTTTTAGATTAAATTTTAGCTCTTCCCCTTAATATTACATATATTAAAGCAAACCTATAAAAAGCCTTTTAAGAATAAATAAAAATTAAAAACACATGATTTTAACAAAATACACATGCACTTGTAAGATCTTAAAAATGATATATGACTCTGCCTTTCAGGAAAGTTATGGATACTGCAGATAGGCATAAATATATCTCCCTTGGGAAGGCAGCTCATTGTCCTCCTTTATGAGTGAGGAAGACCTCTAATTTACTTAGGCCAGAGGCATTAGTGAGTTATTAAAGACTCTCTCAAGACTGATTTCCTTTCTGTCTTCTACTTTTCAAAGATAAAGCATTCCATTTATTAATTTTAAAAAAAGAAAACCTGTTTCATCTTGAATTCACAATTTATTAAAATTAATAAAAAACATGATGCTGACAACACAGTATTTTTGGTGTTATATGAATGCTGCAACTTATTTTTCATTTTAGAGGTTACTGATAAGCATTTTAATCATTTATACATTGATATTTATTCAGTCAGAAGGTGTGAGCATCATACAGAGCAAAATGGCAGCCAATTTAAACTATATCTGAGGCAGCCCAGGTAAGGTACTGGGCAGGGATGAGGGGGTTGGAAAACAAGCGCTGAGGCCATCACTGCATTTTTAACTTCACGATTTGTGACTAATTCTGCAATCGGCTACCTGACATTTTTTTAAAAATGTATAAAACAAAGTCCAATCCTGAAAACCCAGGACTAAGCCAACAGTTCCTGCCACCTTGACAAGTGAATCCTTGGAAGTGTTTGCAGGATTGGGCTCTAAATTGGGTCTAAGTCTTCAAACTGCCGGTCTGCAAACAGAGTTATGAGCAAGCCCTTCAGCTCATTCAGGCATGGTTAGTTCTGTAGGGCTAACAGGGTCTGAACAAAAAGGAGGTTTTGGTGATATCTTTTATGGGTCCACCTGTATAGTTTGGAGAGATGTTGGACCAGCTTTTGGCCATAAAGTGCTCTTCCATGGCTGCAGCAGCACCCCAACCCTATTCTAAAAAAAATAAAAAAATACCCACAGTTGCAGCTTTAACATGAAGGATAGTTGTGACAATCACTCAGGCTTGCAGACAACTCAAAAACAATAACTCGAATGAAACTACCCCACGCTGATCAGTCAGGATCCTGTGGACTCGGCAATTCTGCAACTACAGAATGTGACATTTTTTTCTAAGCGCTCATGAAATTCAATCTTTTTCATGAATCTGGCCACTCTGCTACAGCCAAGAAACCTACAGCCCACTACCAGGCTGCAGTTGCCTCTGGATTCCTGTCTTCCCTCAAGCAGGGAAAATTAGATGACCGTGCATGCTGTCTGACCTATTGCTTGAACCCAAACAGCAGAGGACAGGGAACCAGAACCCAATTTGGAGCTACGTTACAAAGAGGGAGCCAAAAAAGGAAGCTCGTGGACTAGGAAACCTGGGGAAAAAGCTTGGAAGCCAAGGTCCACCGAACTAGCATGATGATCTGCTGAAAGGGCTATAAGTTCCCACAAGTCCCAGCACAAATTATTATTTTATTACAGAAGAACATGGCAGTAGGGCCTAAAGGCCCCAGCTAGGCTGGACCCATTTATGCTACGTACCCTATGCATACATAATAGGGAAGGTGGCCCTGAGCTAGACCTACAAAATTCATATTCTCTCAGAGGGTCTTCAGGATGAGAGAATGTTTTAGCTGAAAAATACCTTTCATTTCATTCACAGTTTTTCATCTTTATTGTTCATTAATTCAGTTATTCGTTTAAAAAAGGGATTTCCAGTCACCAAAGCAAGTTTGCATGATACTAGGATTTGCACACAGAAAATACTGTGCTATTTGTGTCCCCCCCATTCTCCCCTACTTGGATTTCCTTGACAGAAACAGAGCCATTTTAAATAATAAAATTTAGCTACAGAACAATTTCAAAGCAATATATATTCATCACCCGTTTAAAAAGGAAGTACAATGCATGTGAAGATCAGCATGGAAAAGATCATTAGAATAATCCTTTCTAAAATTAATTGCCCTGGAAGATAAAACCTCTTGCCAGTTTTAAAGCTAATGTTAAGACACATTTGAAAGGTTCTGATCGACAGCTGCTGTCTTAACATCCAGCACTACATTTTGTCAGTAAAATAAAAAATATTGTCTCAAGCTTTTGTTCAAACAGCTGGAATCTTAACGATCATTTTCTAATGATATGCATACAGTTGCCCACAATAGGCATTTTGCTAAAACATCAGCGTATCACAGTATAAAGATGGGAAAAGAACTACTCTTTTTTCATTTCTCTTTTTTCATAACAAGAAGCAAAATCCAAGTTCATTCTTACCATAGCTTTGCTATAATAACCTGATTGATATATGCAGAAGCCACATCCAACCAGACAAAGTGTATTTGTTCAAAGAAAAAATGGCTTCCTGGGGGAAGAATGATATAGCTAATGCTCTTCAGAGTGACTGTCTAGTTCATGAAAGCAAGAGACAGCATCTCATCTTATGCTGGTTTACTCATGATCCCATAAAGCCAGGTGGCCAAGAAATTTCATTCACTTTCTCAAGACTCCTGTTGCTCTTGCATACTATAGCGTTTCATTTCATCTTATGGATATTACACTTTGCTTCATGGTGGTTAACACTTACCAGATACCTGTGCAGTCTAAAAATCCCCCAAACATTAGCCTGGAATTATATGACGCACTTCCTAAAAAAATCAGTCTTAAATAAATAACCTTGTACTGTACTCAGTTTTGGAAGTTATAATAAGTAATTACACAACATTTTTAACTTCTAGAATTAATTTAAAATGGCACATATGCAAAGGAAAATACAAACGGAGAATGTATCTACAGTAAATGAATGAGCAAAGTATGAGTTACAGGAACAATGCCAACATAGGACCTGAAATTTCCCTTACCTCAAGCCAGCACAATGTTGCACTTAGTTTTCTGATACTCCAAGGTGATTCAACCTGATGGGGAAAGGCAGGGAGAGGGGAGGCGGCAGGGGTGACGACATAAATGTTACTGAATCCAATGTTCCAAATTGCCAACAAAACCTTGTGGAAGACAGTTTAAAGCTGCAAAGTTTAGGAACCTTTATGAATATGAAACATTAATCACATTATGGTACTGAAACGCCACAGGACAGATTTAAACGCAATATCCTGTTAATTGTCAAGTATTGCTCCCTATTTGGAATGTTTAGCCTGTGCCCAAAAAGTCTTTAAAATGCAACTGCATTTTAGTAGGATTCTGTCTTTCCCATGCACACTTTCTTCAAGGAACTAACTGCAGCTTGAATCTGTCTTCCCAATGCAACAATACAGCACAAATTAAAATGCCTGGTTTCCTGAAAACTGCTCAAGGATTCTGGCTTCCAGATGTGGGGAATCCTAAAGGCAGCAGTACATACACACTGTGGTTATTTTTTAAATCTGGCAGGCTCATGGGATTTGCAAGGTAGAATGGTTTAGTGGATTGAGAATGGCTATAAGCCAGAAAGCCTGAACCTTAATCCTGACTCTGACAAACGTCTGATTTGTGGCCTTGGGCGAGCCATGTAACTGCTGAGTATCTCTGTTCCCATATTTTAAAAATTAACATAACAGCATTTACTCATCTATCCTGCATGGCTGTTATGGGGATGAATTAATCCATGTTTGCTGAGAACAATGAAAACAAGAGGTGATATAGCAGCAGTGTTGGTATAGGCACAACCACTTGACCTACGCAGACCTGAAAAGTTCTGCCCACAATTCTCATTTCTATCCCTCAACACTCACGCCAACCCAGAAGGATGGGTTATCTGTTGCAATAAGGTGGCAAAAAAAAAGAAATGTAACAGTCCTCAGAAAGTAGCATAGCAAGGGACTTCGCTGGACAAAGTAGAGCATTCAGACACTCTGCGCATAGACCTTGGCAAAGAGATCAAGGCATTCTTGGGGAAAGTGGACTCCACTAAAATATAGCTTGAGCATGCTAGGCTCTGGTTTTCTAGTTTTCCCACAGTCCACAGTGAACTCTAGGAAACACAAGGCAAGTCAGAGCAGATAGGTGTATGGCTACTTTTACGCAGATGAATAGACAGGCGTCAGAATATGAGAGACTAAAAGAAGCCTTAACTTTCCTCCTGTCCACCTGTTTGTACTGAACTACAGGTAAGAGACTTGGGCTGTTTTATGTGGCAGCTTTTAATGCTTTTTCTATTACTCACTAAATTTAACAATGCCCATCACCCATGTTCAAAAGGATTTTAAAATAAAACTGAAGCAGATACAGTTTCAGAGCTCTGAAATTCCCTCCATGACAGATTCAAGTCGAAGTGGCAGCTGCTACAGAACACCAGAACAGGGGTAGGCAACCCCGGCGCACGTGCCAGAGCATGGCACACAAAGGTATTTTGTTTGGCACGCACGCCTTGGGGCAGATGATGGGGAAGGGGCCAAGGCTGCACTGCCACAACAAGGATCGGGCACTTTGTGGCTCCCCGGCTGTCTGCCCCTGACATGTTTTTGAAGTAGAGGTTTTGTGTTTCTGGCACTCTGTCCAAAAAGACTGCCAACCCCACACTAGAACTTTGTTCTTTGTTCTCCAGGCCCATCATGCTTTTCCTACCTAGTCACTATGTATCTACACAAATAGTGTTGCTGTTACAACATACATTTCTATTATAAACAAGTCCAGACAAACGCACACAAAAAATTAAAACCAGTATCAAAAAAGGTTCTTTCATGTAACCACTACATATATAATCAAATCATAGCAGCAACCCAGGAAATAATCTGAAGCATTTTGTATCTCCAGCACTCCCTTTTGCTTCCTCTTCCCACAGCTAAAATGATGTTCCAGAGCTATAGCACCAGTATAAAAATCTTTTTAGAATGGTACCAGTTGCCACCCCACAGGCTAACTTGGAGAAAAAAATGTTCCAGTCCTTCACTTTAATTTACCCACCAACCTTTATAATGCTGGGAACAAAGTTCACTTTAAAAGCCATGCCTCCCAGGGAAAAGCACAATCTCTTGTAGCTGAGCTGCTAAGCTACTACAAAAGTTTCATAAAAAAAAAGTACTTACATTCTTTTCTCCTCCAGTAACACGGACTTCATAGCAATATGCCAGAAGGATATCAACTAAGCTGAGATATACTTGATGACAGGTTCTTTTATCCAGCAGGTAAGATTTATTTGTGAATTTTCTCAGCTGCTCTCTCTCTTCTTCCGAAAAGACAACTGCAAGAAGCAAAAAGAGCAAACAATTAAAAAATGAAAACTGAAATGTTCATTTTTAACAAGTGGCACCATGCCTTCCTTCCACCAGCCCATAAAAGCAAACATAAAATTAAATCACAAATTTAAAATTATGTACCTTCTAGAGAAAAAGCCTAAATCATTTTTACTTCCACTATTATCAATATTTTATTCAACTTTTGTGTACTCTTCTTAGTGGCAGATCCCAATTCTGCAACGTACTCTGTGTAGGTAGAATCTTGCACATATTAGAAACCCACTGAAAGTGATCTGTGATTTCTGAAGTCTCTGATACAGAAATTAATGCAAGATCAAGCTAAAAGATAGTGCTGAAAATGTTCTGAAGTCATTATCAAAGAAACCAGAAATCGGAATTCTTGGTTCAATGGCAAGAGAAGGAAAACAGAATATTTTCCCCACTGCAGGATAGGAGAGGAAGGAGAAAAAGTAGCAGTACAGGAAGGGGAATAATTTAAAGTTATGAACATGTTTTAAAGGCAACACTGCTTGTACTGGCAGATAATATCCTCCCAGCACCAGATGAAAGATCAGTGTGGAAATCCTATCCCCACTGAAGTCAACTTCAGTTCTTGTTCATGATAATTTTTGATCTGACACTTATTTGCAATACTTGTGTTCTTGACACTGCAGGCCATCATGAGGTCTGATGAGGTTGTTTCTAGAGGGCAACTGTCCTTTTTATCTGAGGACTTCTAAAACAGAATTCATCTGTCAGTCTTCCTGTTCATTTTTTGGGGTTATGAGGAGGTTTTGACAGGAAGCCATGGGACATAGTAGACACTAAACCCAGGTAAAAATTGGGCAGTTAATTAACAGTAAGTAGGCAGTAAGATGAGCAATTACAAAGCGAAGGAAGACTTGGCAGAAATTATACAGGCTTCTTTGAATAAGGGCATCTGTGACTTGGCTGCACATCACGTGGGCCTTCTGGATTCCCCAGCTCCTGTCACTGATACAGAAAGCAGGAATTGCCAGCTATTTCCATTGCTTGGAAAAGTCATGGTCTTTTTAGGTTCAGACACTGGCTAAAAAAGCCAAGCATGGAACTGATCTAAGTTACGCAGGTTTCTGAAAGTGGCATAGTTTAGATAGGTAGTGAACACAACACACATTTGCCCTTTGGTCAGGAAGAAAGACATTTTAGATTGGGCTCTGCCATTTTTAAACCAGGCTACGTGTGCCGCATTTCTGGTCTGTTATGTGTATAGATCGATTCTGTATCCTCAACTTCTATTCTGTTATGGGTATAGACTGGTTTCCAATCACTTATACCAGAAACTATGTAATGTCTCTACATAGCCATTGTCAAGGCTAACTGCAGAAGAGTTTAAGGATGGATAACAAAGTGCTTGTTATAGAGCAACAAGGTTTTTTGGGTAAATGTGGTATCTTTTATTAGACCAACTAAATAGTTGGAAAAAATGTTCTTTGCAAGCTTTCGGGCATAAGCACCCTTCTTCAGGCACAGGGAAAGTCTGCTGGTGTTATGTGTTCTCCACAATAGAACAGACACCTTAGACCAACATGTCCTTAGGCCAACATGGCTACAACCAACACCACTTCTTATAGGGCTACATTTTAAGGACGTTCACAATATGCAACTCATGCAAGAATGAGACTACCTGCTTATACGTTTCTAGGAATGAGCATTTTACAGTTTTATGACTTGCATGAACTGCAGTTTAAGCTACTGACTGGGAGTTTTAAAGGGCTAAAATGTTTGGGTCCCAATTATTTGAAGAGTTGTTTCTGCCTTTCTATTAGTGTTACAGTGGCAACTTTCTGAGGTTTCAAACTAAAGGCGTCCTGGTGACAAGAGGCTTTCACAAGCTATGGAACTCTCCTCCCTGTTCAGACTGATGCAGATTAGATTTGATCATCTTTGGTATGCGTCTCAAAGCTAATCTACTTCCCAGATTTTTTCCAGAATGAAGGAAAAGAGACCAATTAGCATTGGAAGGAATAAAAGCAGTTCATTTTGATGGGTTACGAGGTCCTTTTATCGTCATTTTGTCCAACTGATTTCTGATTGTACATAAAATTATTCTTCTATACCTAACAGGTTGTTACAGGCAATTTTACAAATATGAATGAGTAAAACCTACCCACTCTTCAATTTTATTCCAAGAATAGCTACGAACAAACCCACTTACTTCCTATTGGCATTTTTAAAGCAATAAATCATCCATTTCAATTAGCTGCTGCAAGCCAAAGATTAAGATTTTTTTGGGTCCTGCAAATAGATGAAACGTCATATAAAACCTAGGGCTGTCAATTAATCGCCATTAAAGTGTGCGATTCACACAAGAACCAATTAACATGTTATTTTTTTTAATGTGTTAATCACGCACGTGGTTTTGGAGCCCGCACCCGAGCTCTGCTCTGCCACCATCACCACTGACTCTGAGCTGCCTAGCAGGGCAGCGCTGGCAGTGCAGAGGACCACAGAGCAGTCCAGTTACGGGCTCCAGGCTCTTGCAGCAGGAAATGGCGGGGGGGATGATACACGCAGATGCAGGCGCACAGACACAGACGCAGCTTGCATGCAGCCAGGAATGCAAACCAGCAGGTGTAGAGTAGTACCCAGTAGGTAAGTCTGTAGAGGGGAAGGGGTGCGGGGGCAGGCGGGTGGTAGATTAAGGCCCACATGGTGAGAGAGGGAGTGGGGCAGGGGTGAACGGAGCCCCGGAGCCAGTTGTGGGACAGAGCTGTGGGCAGCTTGTCCAGGGATGTGGGCGCAGCTCCCCCCTGCTGCACATACCCACAGGGAAGCATGTGCTCCCCGGATTTGTACATGGGGCAGAGGCGGGCTGTCCACTGGGGCTGGGGCTCTGTACCCTGCTGCCTTTGCCCCAGGACCCATCAGGCTGTATTCCTGTAGGGTTACCATATTTCCAGTTTCAAAAAAGGACACCTGGAGCAGGGGGTAATATGATTGTGGGGGGAGGGACAGTGATATGCCCATGCGCTGCCTCTGCCCCTCACTCCCAAGCCCCCACCCCAGCCCTGCTGCTGCCCCTCACTGCTGACCCATAGTACCCTGCATCCTGCCAGGGTGCGCAGGGACCACCCCCCTCCCTAGGCTCCAAACCCCCCACACACACCCACAGCCTCACAAATTCTCCCTCACATTTGCACCCCACCCCAACCACAGAAAGTACCTGCATAATTTTGAGTTGTTAGCTGTGCGATTAAAATTGTGATTAATTGCAACTATTTTTTTTTTTAAATAGTGCACTCATTATCTTGCTAACTCATGTTGTAAGTTAGTGTATTAGTAACCCATCCTCATATTAGTAAAAAAGATTTTTGCTGTTTAGATTTTCAAAGGAACAAATTCTGTTTCTTCTTTCTCATACTGACTTTTTATTTTTAATGAGTACAAATTAGGGTTAATGTTGAACAATGCAGTTCCTCTAATAGTTGCCTAAATGTAATGAGAAAAGGTTTTTGAACTTTTCCTTAAACTGTAGGAGAGAGAAGTGAATGATTAACTACAAGTGCTCCTATGCACACTTGGACTATATTAAGAAGAAACTGGTCTCACGTCAAATTAAGATAGCAAAGAGGCTGTTCTAAAAGTTTTCATTCAGATTGTTAGCTTACAGCTTTATGAACATTAAATACTTTGATTTTAGTACTTAGTTAATTTTGTGAACTAAACATTTCTTTGGAACCTAAGCCAGCATCCACTTCTTTACAAATTCCAACATAAAGAAATCCCAGCTTTTGTCCTATCTTTTCCTTTTGCCATAGGTTAGCAAGAATGACAGTTTATCAAATGAATAATAATTCTTCCCTTTTTTCCATCAATACCATGTGGTTCAGCATTTATCCCTTACATCATATAAACACATGGTGCGATCTAGATTTTTAAAATTACCAAGAGGTTTGCTTATAAACCCTTATTGATTTTTCAGTGAGTGACCTGGTTCATTTATGTTAAATTGTCTGTAAGCCTACTTGTGAATGTTACAAAACATTTGAAAAAAATCAATTTCTGAAAAAAACATAACATAAAACCATTTGCATTTTGTTACAGAACGGTGGGCTCTGAGGTGGTATCAGACGCTATCACATCAGGGTGCCCGCACTTAGAGCGAGGTCAAATTGGAAAAAAACAAGTCATTTTCAAATTTCAACTAACTTCCAGTAGAGAAACCTCAGGAGGAGACTGTTCTGCAATTTATTGCACAATTATATGTAAATGGAAATCTCACCCTACTGAGGCTATCAAATAGGCACACAAACTACGTTAGGTAAAATGGAAGATGGAAAAGATTAAAAGCTAAAGAGGGAATCTAAAGAGCAAACAGCCTAAGATATGAAAACAAACAAAAAATATTTAAGTATAACTAGAAAACCCGTGAGAGAATTGCTATCAAAGACTAAACAGAACAATTTAGGCAAACGATACTTCAGGGAAGCCAAATAATTCCTCAGGGACATCTGTTGCTAGCTACAGTCGCATGACGGATAACGTACCAGGTAGACCATAGGACTGATCCAGTACAACAATCTATACTCCGTGAGTGCTACAGAAATATGCATAGGTAAAACATGATCAACAATCCAATACATGCATAAACATGAGTTACACATTATCAGGGACAAGAATCAGTCCAAACTGACTCCTTAAAATTTTGCTACTAACAAAAAAATTTGGATTCTGTAACCAAAGTCCACATTTTGAGGGAATATGTAAGCATGAGCATGCAATGAGATTACTAGACCTGAAAAAAGCAAGAGAACCCTGCATGAATGAGGTGATCAGCACTATAACCCACCAAAATGAGATGGCATAAATGACAAAAATATGCTTCAGAAGTTGTGTGTTTTGAA